GGTATCGATGGCTTCGTCTGGCGTCGTGGTGATTTTGCGAACTACCGCGAAACTGGTACAAAGGAACGGGGAACCGCAAATTGCTGCGCGTTTCCCCAAGAGCCTCCTCTTGAAATTTGGAGGAGAGGTAGGGTGCCAGGGAAAGGCAATTAAGTGCGCTAATAATTATACTCGGAATAGTTGTGAAGGCTCTGCTTCTATTTTTAAATAGTCTAGGGAAATTTCCCAACAAAGGGATCCCCTAAAGACCTGTGAGGCTGAGATTGCCCTTTTCCTCCCTGCACCATCCCTTTGTACAGAAATCTGGTTAGTGTGGAACAGGAGTTCTGAACGGGGACATTTAAAGTGTGGGGGAGCCTTTGTCTTGAGTCATTCTGGCAGGGAGGGAAGGGCTGAGTTACCAACCAGTCACTGTCTTCCAGCACGACCGAGCTGTGATACAGTGACATCCAGCCCCCTGGCACATCTCTCTTATTACCCCAATCTCCCGAAAATGTTCATGGGGGAATGTGTCATCTGTGGAGCCATTCTGTCCATGAGCTGTGAGTCTCTGCCGTCTGGGACTCCCTAAAGAGAAGAGATAAAGCCTTTTAGGTTTGCAAACAATAGTGAGCTTAAAGAGCAAAATGGATCAGAAAACCTGTTGGGGTTTTGTGCCAATACTCAGTGGCACAGAAGCAATAAGTCTTTCCAGAGCTGAGCAGGGAGCCAATTTTGTGGCTTCCTCCAGGCAGGTTGTCCACATTAAGGGAAAACCTCGGGCACAGCTGGCAAAGGTTCTTTAGCCGCATTTCAGCAGGAAACCCGAGTCTCCAAATTCAGCCAAACCTCTGCCTCCTCCACAGTGGAGGGCAAGATGCATGGGAGGGGGGTGGGGGAACTGCCATATTCCCACCCTGCCCAGCTGCCAGCCCCATAGCCAGAAAGCTGCATTTGCTCTGCATGGGAAGGAGATGGACCTCGTGGTGGTTTTACACTGTGGCAGCCAAAAGGACCACCACTGGTACGGTTGTGCTGAGGGGAGGGTGTGTTTCCTATTCTGCTGAGGCTGCTGGAAACTTTCTGGTATTGCTGTCCAGCTGGTGGTGATACAGAGGATTTGGGTCCTTGGCTTTCCCTCTGATCCTCTCTGCTGTCCTGGCAGGGATAGGAGTATGGGTGGGAGGCACATGGCAGCTCCGAGGGACAGCTCAGTTCCTAGTCTAGTGAAACTGATAATCCTGGTGGGCTGTAGAGATACTGGAGGGCTGGACTCGATTGGCCAGACTTCTCCAGATGACTGGACTTCTACCTAGATGGGAGTTCAGAAGTGGAGATACAGATTACTGGGAATTTATACATTAAGGCCTGCTTTGGTTAGTAGCTTTGTTCAGTGGTTTAGGATCTGTTCCAGTCTGAAATAACTTGGTGCACTCTGGCTTCGCTTCTCCAGCCCTGCAGGACAGGAATTGTTAATCCCTGAAAAAGAGCTTCCCTCAATTGGGAGCCACTGCAGACCTGCAGGATGTGCTGAAATGGGACATGCACCTCATGAGGGTCCCATCAGACTGCTGAGCAGCACAAGTCTGCTGGCAGAGTGTGGAAACATCTCTCCAGGCTCTAGGGTATCTAAGCCCCTTTGGTTTTGCAAGTAGGAAAATTATGTGATTAAAAGCAGGGGGACAAGGAGGGAATTGGTCTCTTTCCTCTTTTTATCTCCCCAGGTGCTTGTCTTCATGTGGGCTATTTAAGGGGTGTTTTTTTCCCTTCTGCCTGCTTAGAAGATGCCTTGTTAGCATTGTGTGAACAAGCCAGAGATGAGGGAGTATAGATCAGGATGGATGAAAATTCCCTGTAGTCAGTTTTAGCTTGGCCTCCTCAGTGCCATAAGGAAATGTTCATTTAATTATAGGCATCAGGGGTAGAAATAACTACATTAAGCCCTCAAGGGGAAGCTGCTGGCGACAAGCTACAGATCAGAGCGCACAAAAGTTTTTCCACTCCCTCAGTGTGGGAAGAAGCTCCGGCATTTTGTGGGTACCTGAGTGAGCAGCAGCAGCTGCCCTGGCAGCCCTGCTGCAGGGCCAGGAGAGAGGGGCTGCAGGGAAGGTGCATCGAGTGGCTCGCAGCTGGTGCTTGAGTGAACTTGCTTCTTGTTCTTGCTGGCTATTTGTTGAAACCAGGACACTGTTGAAACACGTAATCCCCAAAGAATGGAGAGGCTATTTGTCAGCCACATGAGCACAGCCCACACCGAGGCAAAGCAAACACGTGTGTTGATTTGTTCAGAGGGCCGGGGATGCTGGCAAAGAAGATACACCCTGCTGGGGCTCAGATCAGCCCCTCATCGTCCCTATGCCTGGTTAAGCCCTGTTGTGGTTGCCAGAGTTTGGATGTACATTCTTGTTCTGGTGATAATTTGTTACTGTTGGGCAGCCAGCTTTGCAGCCCGCCCTCTATATACCAACTGCAACCACTCTCGGCTATTTCTGTCCTGCCTGATGTGTTGGGAAGGTAGTCAGGACCCATACATGTGCCCTGGGACCACCTAACCTTTGCATGAGTTTTTTTTGCCGGGGATGCGTGAGGTTGTTTGCAGAGTGGAGACTCTTGGGGGAGAGTCTGCTATGCAGCATGTGGCAGGGTGGTCGTCACTGCTCTGCTGCAGGGTCTGGAGTGGAGTGTAACCATTTTGTGTTCAATGTTGTGCCCAGTGAGTTTTAAAGGCCTTATGGGATGTAAAAGACTTCTATTATATTTTGATGGGCAACCATGTCTCAAGGGAAGCCCCTCCTGCATCTGAGGTAGTGCTTGCTCTGCCTGAGCAGGGTGGCTTTGAAGACGAAGCAGCCACAAGCCTTTATTTGGTGTGCTAGAAATCAAACTGAGCACCATGGGGTACACAGTCCAGGCTGGGACAGAGCAAGAAGAGGAAGCACAGGCCTGGCAAGGCAGATGAAATGCTTTGGGCCTTTGAGAGGGCAAAGAAGTCTGTGGGCTGTGGTTTTTCTCTTAGATCAATGGCTTTCATCCTGTGGTGTGTTAACCCCTGGGGGCCTGTGGGCTGTTTGAAGAGGCCTATGAAAGGTAACTGAGGAAAGAAAATTGACTTCTGCTGTGTACAACTGTCTACCTGATGCTGTTTCCCCAGGGGCTGCATCTCCCCTGGCCCTGAGCTGGCAGCTGCCATTGTCAATAGCGAGAATCGCGAAGAGGAGCAGACGTTGCAGCAGCAGAGGAGGGAGGTGTGAAGGCTACGAGACAATCTGGGGAGGGAGTGAAGGCAAACAGTCTGGGAGACTGAAACCAAGTGAGATTGTGACTCCCGGCATGAATGGTTGGGCGAAGGGGGAAGGACAGGCAGGCTTGTTGGAGTTGCCGTGACCTGCTTGCATGGAGTGTCTTGTGTGCAGGCGGGTGGAGGTGTTCAGAGCAGTCGTGATGTTACTGGTTGTAAGGACAAGAGACTTGACTCACCTCAGCTCTGGGCTGAGGGTGCCTGTCACCCCTGGAAGGCAGGCCTCTGCTGTGCTTGTGCTGACAAAGGGCACATCTACAATTTTCTGCAAAAGCAGGTGCATCTTCTGGCAGTGCCGTGCCATTTCCCAGGATATACCTGGACCCGCGTGCTCTGGATGTTCTCTTCTGAAATGCCAAGGGAGCAGATGTTGGCAGTCCTTTGTGAGGTAGTAGGCACTCAGTATGTGCACACACACACTCCCTGTAGCCGAGTGTCGGAGCTGTCTCATTATGCTTGCTGTAAAGAGCTGTAAAAGCTCAAAGATGCTGGCACAGCATCCCTTTAAAAAGCTGTCCCGTTGCAAGGGCTTCTTCAGTTGTGCCTCGTCCCTCTTGTTGGTGCAGGTTGGTAAGTATGTGCTCCCTGCTGCCCCAAGTGCTTTTCCCATTGCTTTCTAAAATGTACTGGAGCCGTGAGAAGGTGGATAGTTTTAGAGGGATGCTCCGTAAGGGACCTGATTGCTGGCAGTACTGGAGGAGGATGGCAGTCTGATCTTATTTTCCGAAGCCCTAATTGGAAATGATCTCAGAGATTAGGGACATGGCTGGATGTGTAAGTACTCTAGTGCAGCATGGGAGAGCAGCGATAAGGCCATGTGGGAGCTAGGCTGGGAGAGGTCTTAGGTAGAGGTGTCCCAGAACAGCTATGGTCTGTAAGTCTGAATTAGCATCAAAGGGACTTGGTTTGATATACGGTCATCCTGTGTGCTTCCCTGTGCAAGCTGTTGAAGGTTTGGTGTGCAGAGACTCCAGGTGACTGTGTGGGAATCAGCTTGGACATCCCTCAGTCAAAGGACATTTTCTTCTCTTCCTCCACTGGCCACGGTTGGGATCCTTTTTTGTTATTTAAATTGGTCTGTGTTTTGTTATGTTCTGGAAGTGGTTTATGCCGTTGGCTGTTCTGCCCTGAGGCCTCTCTCCTCTCTGCCCTTGGGCCTTGCTCCCCGGCCTTTCCAGGCGTGGTGGTCTGGGGGAGGGAATATCCCTGGCAGATGCTTCCCTCATCTGGTCATTGTGTTTCTGTCCTAACCGATTATCAGTAAATGACCCATTCCTGACCCAGCTCTCCTAGGAAATAACATTGTTGGGTAGCTCCTGGGTGTGGGGTGGGCTTGAAAGGAAGGTCAACGGTAGCAGGGCCAGATGGACATTGTTGCGGCTGCTGCATTGGCAACACCAAGATGCTCTGACCCCCCTCCCTGGCAGCCATTGTGCAACTGTGCTTGGGAGGAGTGTGCAGGCTCTGCTAGTTGGTGGTGAGAGACAGGTAAGTCAGAGTGTGCTCCAGGCAAATATTCTTCCCTTCAGCAGGCTGATCCTGCCTCCGTGGCACTGTGGTGTAGCCACAACACACATGAAGGAGAGGTAAAACCAACCTTCTGTTGGGTAAACTGAAGAATATTCCATAGATCAAGCCAATGTGATGACATCTTAAGGGATGGTTGTATGTTCCTTGGAGAGAAATTGAAGTTTGCTTGTTATTAATTAAAAAGCAAGAAAATTTTGACATAGTCACAGCCAGGATCCATTTCATCTCCCCAAATCCCTCCTCTCATTTCAGCTGGACACAGAAATTACTTATTTCCTCTTTCACTCCTAGTCCTATTCAATAGGCCAGTTGGGAGCCTATTTTAAACAGCTGCCTTGTCCAGTGGAGAGGTGGCTTGCTTTGTGGCAAAGGGATGAAGCAGTTCTTGGTCAGCTAATGTAGAAAATATTTTGAGATTGTTTTAGAATTGTTTAGAACTGTGGAACTGCTCTTATTCACAGCAGTTTGGGAGAGAGATGGCAGATAATTTTTTGTCAGGTATTTTCTTCTGCTGTTGAGCCAAACTCCCCCATCTCCTTGTCCTGTTTTCTTGAATCCTCTGCTGAGCTGAACAGAGCAAGCTTCTCTATGAGTTGGAACTGTTTGCTGTGGGATCAGTGGGGTCAACAACTAGAAAACTCATTTCATCGGTGTGTCCCCATGGCCAGCTTTTTTCCAGTGAACTTGGAAAGGTAACGTTACAGTATTATTCCCTGCTGTTGGAATTGCCCCATTCTGCTCCTTATAGAGGTGAAGCACCTTTTGCAAGGCCATTGTTACCTCCACGTGTCATCTTTGTGGGTACCAGCAGCAGGACAGCTCGCAGCCGCCGCGGAGCTCCCGTGCTGGTTTCGGTGCTCTCTGCCTTTGTTCCCTCTCCCCCCTCCAGCTACCTCTCCCACTTTCTCTCATTTCTCGCTCCTCCTCTGTCTGTTCTGAGGAGGGCTTTCCTCCGGTGCTCACAGCCCTGCTGTTTCCCTGAAGGCTGGCTGCCCTCTTTAGCATGCAGAGCCTCATCTCCTCCAGGTTACGCAGAGGTGCCGCAAAAATAGAAATGAGAGACAAACGCCCCATTGAAGCAGCTGGCAAGCCCTGGCTCCGTTCCCTGCTCCCTCCCATCTACAGTTGCCGGGCTTTATTCGTTTGTGTTTCTTTATTCCTATCTCTTGATCTGCCTTTTAGAATACAAAATTGGGAGACTGATGGCTGATAGAAGTTGTCTAATCCCTGTTCCCCATCCAAGGAGGAAAACGGCCTGGCACCGAGGTCTTGGGCATTAGATTTCCTCTCTCAGCTGTGCTCCCCTGCCTCCCAGCTCAGCTTGTGCTTTGATTCTTTCTTTGCCTTGGACTTGACAGCTGCATGGAGCTCCTTTATGAGATGCTTGGAAGAGAGGGGGAAGGTGCCAAATCTTGGGGCTGCTGTTTGGCACCTCAGCCCATTGAGTTTTTGCTGCTGGTGCAGATGGTATGAATGAAGTGGTGTCAGGATGCTGTCTGGAGAGGTACTGATTTTTACCCTGGTGTGATAGTTCTGTTAGCCCTGTGGCATTCGGGCTGGTGCTGGCACGGAGGGTTCCCCCAGGCCAGTCTCTGCATCCTGTGCCTGTGGATCAGGCCCCAAGGTCTTACTCTAGATCCACCCCAGGAGAAACCTGGCTTGCTCAGGCTGTGCATGACTCATTCTTATCTTGGGCTGAGGAAAGCACAGCATCCCAGTAAACCAGATAATGCAGCTTAGGGGGTTTTAACTGGGTAAACACTTCAGAGTTAAAGGAGGGTAAACAAACTCCCAGCATCCAAACTTCCTTCATGGATGGAAATAACTCTCTGGATGCCCAGGTTCACTTGCCATGAGATGTCTGTTGAGAAGTGGTGGGATGGACTGTGGCTGAGTCTGGAGGCAGCCCAAACATGGTGTAGCTGATGGAAAAAAAGGCCTGAGCCAGCCTGGGAGCTGGCGCAGTTACATTTTGAGACTTTGCCTTGCTACCTGGGAGACCCAGGATGTGTTTTGTAGTGTGGCTGGAAAGCCGAGGTGCCACATCAACCATGTCTGCTAATGGGAACTGGGGGAAACTGAAGCATTGGGGCATATAAAGAGCTTACTTAGGATCCAGGCAGTTAGTTACAGTCACAAATATATCAAATATTCCATGTGGTCTTGGACCACTTGGTGTCTCCCTGTCCTTCTGCTCTCCTTTGGTGGATAACTTTGAGAATAATGTTTCTTTTCTCCTTCTTGCTGCTCTCTGTCATGTTTGCTTAAGCTGTAAGCTCCTCAAGACAGGTGCTCTCTCTGGTGGGCTGCACAGGGCTCAGTGCTCTCTGTCAGTGATGCAGGTGTCTTGTGTCAGCTGGGGAAGCCCAGCCTGGGCATTGTGTTGGAGCCTGCTGAGCACCACTGGATTGGCATGGGGGCCTGGCCAGGTCTCTCTTGGATCCGTGCTCATGCATAGGAGATGTGTGAGCTCTTGTTTCCAGCTGTGGACTTCACTGTGTGTGCAGGGCTCCAGGGAGCAGGCACATTCCCAGGGATGCCCTGAGGCATTTTGGTTGGCTCAGTGATGCTGCAGTAGCTTCCTTCCCCTTTGATACTCTGCTGTTCCCTTTTTTGTTGCTGTGCTGGCCTCAGCTGATCTTGACTTGGATCAATAGAGCAAAATAAACGAGATTGAGAAGTGCTGAAGCCTAGCCCAAGTGCATATGGGAAAGGGTAACCAATATTGGATTTTGCTCAGTTCAGAGAGTAGTGGAAGAAAGTGGAGTGTCAGAGCAGGCAGAAGACTTGAGAAATTCATTTCTGGATTTTAATGTTCCCAGGACTGCTTTGGTAATCAGTCTGGCAGGTTAGCAGCAATTCCCAAACTTTGTGTGCCAACAGGCTTATGTTTTCAGCAAAAGCACCAGGGCCAACCCATCTGCCATTGCCCCACAGCTCATCTTAACACTTGTCTTAATTTGAATTTGCCCTTCTGAGATGTGAAATTGTAGGACACAGTGGTGAGAAGCAACCTCGGGAGGTTGCCTAGTCTGTGCCCTTGCCTCAAGGCAGTTCAGCTCTGCTTAAATCATTTCAGGCCACGTGTATCCAGATCTGTGTGCAGCATCCAGGTGATGTCTCAGCACTGCTTTGTAAAAGCTCTCTACTTCTAATACTTCGGGACTCTGCAAGGATTTTCACATCTGCATTCCAGTGATATCTCAGAGCTGTTTCTAATACAGGAGTTTCGTCTCTTAAGACATTTCTAATGGATGTTTTCCTATCTTGTATCAGAAATGTTTTGTGCTAGTTCTCAAGGGGATGACTTATCACTTTGTACTATTTCTTTTCATACTATTTCTGTTATTCCCATTCTCAAGATCACCTAGCTGTACCTACAGTCTGTGCAGTGAGGATGTCTCCTCGCTTTGTGTCCTTGGCTAATTTTGTTATCATGTTCCTAATTTTAATTCCAAGGTCACTTAGGAAAATGTGAAAGAACAGCAGATCCAAGGACAAACCTCGAGGAATTCCACTAATAGCCCCCCTCCAGCACAAGCCTCTGTAATTTTTTGTATAGCCAATGCCATACAGTTTTCCTGCTTATTACTGTCTTCTCTTGCGTCTCTGGTAATTCTGCGTGAGACACTCTATCAGATATTTGACTAAAGTCCAGATGGATTAGATCTGCTGCATTTCTGTTGTCTAGAAAATCGGTTATCAAAGAAAAATACCAAATTAGTCTTAATTTCAGCTTATTCAATTAGTTCAGTTCAGTGACTAGTTCATTAAGAATTGAGAAACTGAGTATGAGCTGAGAAAGCGAGAAAATGTGTCCTTTTTTCTTCTAATCTATGAATAAAAATCAGCTGTGAGAGGATGAGATCTTCTAGTTTTGATATGCTGAAGAACAGAGGACTGGGAAGCAAATTGTTCAGTTCACCCAAATTAGTTACTTTGCTTGCTTAACAAAACTGTTTTAAATGTAAAACATGTTTTGGTAATTTTATTTTTTCCTTATGTCTCCATATTTATCATGGTATTTATCAGCTGAATAAAGCCAAGTTCCAGGTGCTGTTTTCTTGCATTTTGATTGAAGTTCAATATGCATGTGAATGTACCTTGACACAAATCACAATTAAAGTCTCATCTAGGAATCAAGAAGTGTCAGTCAAACCTTCTAATAGATAAAATGGAAATAACAAGGGTATAACGTTGAAAGAAAAGTGTAAAATGCAGCATGCTTCCTTCCTTAGTGTTAAGTAGATGTTTGCTGTTGTCACATTTTAATTCTTACCTCTGATGGTCAGCCCCTTCTTATGAAAACCAACATTGTGAATGCAAAATGAAGTCCAAGTTAATGACTTAAAAATAGATTTTCAGCTTCATGATTTAAAATATGATTAATATTGGAGTTGTAAATAATATTGGTTTGAATCAGTCCCCCTGCATAAAATATAGCTGTGGATCAGGACAGTTGGATAGGAAACTATCATTGTCTTCACAAGGCCAGAGTTTCATGGCTGAAGTGTAAGACATTCCACCTCCTCTCCAGGATGGATGAATAACAGGGCACCCCATCCTTTCAGAGGCAAAAACACCTTGGAAAGGGTGAACCATCAGTGCCCTATTGAAGAGAGGTGCCCCAGGCTAGATGGCTGAGACTCCTCCATGTGAATGCTCATCTGCATGGTTGTGGATGTTTCCCAAAATATCCTAGTTTTCCCCATCAGCTGAGAGTACAGCCCATCTGAGGAGTAGCTTGGTTTGGCAGGAGCCCGCTGCAAGGGGAAGACAAGCCTAGTGAGTGTCAGTCCGAGCTCTGATGTGGTTTTACTGTCATTATACAGGGACCTTGTGCCTCTGTCTTGCATCTTCGGAGGACCCAACTGCCGATGGCCTCACGTCAACTTCCCTGCTGGAGTTTGCCATGATGTCCCACCTGGAGGCCATGAATTCCCATGAGCAAACCAGCCCGGAGACTGCAGAGCCAGATCTTGCCCCTGGCTCTCTGCATGCTGCCCCAGGGTCAGGCTTTGCCAGCGAGGAGAATGAGGAGTCCAAGATCTTGCAGCCCCCGCAGTACTTCTGGGAAGATGGGGGAGAGCTCAACGACTCCAGCCTGGACTTGGGACCGGCAACAGGTAGGTTATTTTTACCCCATACTTCCTCCTCACTCTGCAGGGGCCCTGGGGAGATGGAAGAATGCAGGGATCTGTCTTCCTGCTTTGACACAACTCTTGCTAAGAGGGCCTGAGATTAAACGTCAGCTCTATTTTCTCACCTCAGTGCCTGATGTGTCCCCAGTGAACCCTGAGCAAGCACAGGCTTTAGAAACCAAGTTACAGTTGAGCCTTTATTCCTGAGCTGCTATGAGCTGGGGAAAGTATTGCCCTCCACCTAGTTTCCCATTGCTTCATGTCTTTCTTTCTCTCTCTCCCTCTTTTATACTCTCTTCTCTCTCCTTTCTTTCTGTTGCTGTCTATTAAGCACAACTTTAGGGTCTCAAGAGCCTGACTCAGAGATCAAGGCCATTTTAGGGTTTGAGTCAAAGCTGGGTTGCCTGGGTCAAATTCTGGATTCCTCAGTCTATGAATTCAGTGTGGACTTGACCAAGAGAAGACAGTGTTGTTGTCTACCCTGTCCTGCTGCTTCCTGAGGAGTTATGACCAAAATGGGTTTCATTAGCATTTGAGCTTGCTTTCCTCTGTGGAGTGTTTTTTTGAGATCACTGAGCCCCTCAGTGGTCTCCCCCCAGGGCCCTTGTTGGCTTTGAGATACTCTCAAGAAGGATGGGGGGAAGGAGGAGGAGCATTGCAGGGTTTCCAGTAGCTTAGGAGATTATTTCACATGCTCCTGCTCTTAAGTGTCATGTGGGGCATGTATTAAGTGTTACCCAAAGGCCAGGATTCAGCCTTACCCCTCCTCCCTCAGCTGATATTGCTGCCTTCCTCTCAGCAGATCTGACAGAGGTCTGCAGTTAGAAAGCACAAGTCTCATTTTATCTTCATTCCTACTTCTGTGACCTTAAAGAACACCTGTGCTCACACAGGGGTGAGGCTGCTGCAGAGCTACAGCTGGGGCTGCCCACTGGGGCACAGTGCACACTATGGGGGCAAGGGCCATCCCAGCTTAGGTCTCCAAAGCCCTTTGCTCGCTGACATTGCTGCTGAACTTATCTGGCCGTGCTGTTGCTGCCCTGTGGCTCCCTGGCCCCCGGGGCGCTTGCAGACCTGGCCGTGGGGCAGCTGTGCCTCCGCAGGGATGCCGGGGGTGGATGGTGCCCGTTCCTGCCAGCGCATCCCCGGGACAGGCTCTGGCTCAGCCGCTCTCACGCGGTGGCAGCGCTCAGCGGCGCTTTTATTGGTGTGCCAGCAGGCACCTGCGTGTACTCACAGATCTGGACGTGACTTGGAGAACAGCATGTGCTTGTGCATTGAGAGCGAGATGACTGGGTACCGAACCCAGCCTTGCCTCTTGCACGTGCCTCGCCCCATTTGCATGCAGAACACGCTCCTCTCTCCTTCCGTTCTTGCCTGCAGTACTTTCCTCCATGAACAGATGTGCTCTTTCAGCTGTCCTTTTGCATACCCTGCCCTATCCGCTGCCCAGCTAACTGCTGCTGTGCTTCCAAGCACTGTTTCTTCCCCTGACCGTTGCTGTGTCCAGAGCTCATGTCTCAATGGCATTTTAGAACCTTGGTTAATAGAACATTTTGAATTATTCAAGAGCTGGGAGCACATTTCTACTTAAAATTTAATTAGAAACCTGCTGTGTGTCATTTTACAATAAAGGATATTGTAATAGCATCCCTAAATTGGGCAGCCTTCTCCTGTCATGCAAGGCCTCTGTATGAGAGAGGCACACAACCAGTGAATCTTACGTGCTGCATGTGTGACAGATGCCATGTGATACCTTGTGGAACTGTGTGATGACATCTGTTAGGTTATTTTCAATGTATAAATCCATTAAACAGTTTTCAACAGCTGCTGTTAAAGGAGAAAAAAAGTTTATGGTGTAAGTTTTCCTTATGTGAGATTTCTTTCTGTGTGCTGTAACCCGGCATAGTTGGTACTCTGTCCCAGGCACACATCAGAGATATTGCATCAGTCAAGGCACAAAACAGCATTGTTGTACTACTAGAGAGTGAAAATTCCTTACTATGAAAGGAGACCTGTGCTGGCTTCTTTCCATGTTTGGTGTAAAGATATTGGGCCTGGAACTGCTGGTGGTCTTGCAGATAGGCCAGATCTCCTGCTATTTCAAAACTGCATTAGTCATCTCTCTTTTTTTTATGTCCTTCTGAAGCCTATGTGGGGAGACTCCCCTGCCTTTGTGTGACTTTGAGGCTGCAAGAGCTAAAAAGTAATAACAATCTGCAGCTCTGCAGCTGCTGCTCTTTTTTTTTTTTTTTTTTTTTTTTTTAAGCGCACTCGAACATCTTTTAAAAATATTTCTGGAAAACATGTGGCAGATAGGACCACCTGTTAGTCCATTAGAAAGTGAGAACAAACCCCCACTGGCAGAGCACAGCTCAGCCTGGGGCTCTGGTTCTCCTGAATAATGTGCTTTTGCAGATTTATGCTGCGGAACAGTGAATCTATATTGACATCAGTGAGCACCAGCCTGTGGAAGGGCCCTGACATTTGTCTCATTCTCTCTGAGGGTGCAGAGAAGTGTGCACTTGCATGTGTGCTACCCCCCCATGCACAGCTGCTACCCAGTGGAGCCGCATGTGGAAGAGATGGATTAGGTCTGGTGGGAATGTGGATACCATATCCTTATGGAAAGAAGCAGCGTGTGCCTTGTACTTTAGCCAGAAGGCAAGTCAGTGGAGCTGTGAACCTGTTACTTCTGCATCCTTTCAGGCTTCCAGGGGACCTGGAAGCTTCTTAGGTTGTAGTTTGGGTGTGGCTGCTTTGCTTCACCTTTGGTAGTAAATTGGCCTGAACCCCAGATCAACTCTGAAGATAGAGTGAACCTGCAGGGACTCACATCTGGCCCTTCCTGTCCTCCTTTCCTTTCTTCCCACCTTCCCAGTCTTATGTTGCCTGGAATCTTCTGGTCTATCATGTCTCCTGCTACCACACTGGGCAACAAATGCAAGATGTCATCTAGCTTTAGGGCTAGAAGATGGGAGTCATTAGGACTGTAGGTCTTTTTGAGTCCTGATTTTTAATGAAAGAGTTACCTGGTGGTGTGTCCATCCCAGAGTGCTCCCTGATTTGCACCTCTTGGTGTTCTCCTTCGTTTTGGTCAGAAAGCACCATCCCATATGTTCCCCTTCCAGTGAAGGCTCTAGGTTGAGGCAGGCTAATCATTAACTGCTGGGAAGTGTGAACTTCTGAAAACTGATGCAAGGCCTGTGAGTCTCTAGTGGATGAGGTCACTTAGTCCCTCTCATCCCCTGCCCAACAGCTGAGCCTCCAAGGACTGGAGTGCATCTTCCAGTGTGATGGTGGACTGGCATGAGGCTCACTTCATTACAGCCAGGGTCTGCTCTTTCAGCTCCAAGGTGCTTGAAGACCAAGGCATGACTGTGCTGGGAGGTATCAAGTCTAGTCTTATAGATTGGTGATTCACTAGGACGGCATGTGGCGCTTTGGGGGGTGGGGGAGAAAATTGTAATCTTTTAATTATTCATAGTAATTAGCAGAAGGGAATCCCAGGAGAGCTAGGATGGGGAATAGCAGAACAGACAACTTAGGACTGTATTCAAAGAAAAGTAAGTTTTCTGACAAGCTAATGGAATCAAATACTTTCCATCTCCTCTGCTAGTGAGATTCACTCCCTTCCATGATGAATTACTTGCTTCTGGCCAGAGAGATCTCAGTATCTTTCAGCCTTACTGAAATCTGCTGCTTCTTCATCCAGACTGACAGCAAATCTGCGGTTCTTAATACCATCTTCAACCCAAGCATTAATGAAATGAAGCACCTGGTAAAGGCTGTCTACATAAGCAGCTTAGCGCTGAGCAGCCGCCTGCCGAGCTCAGCTCCCGGGATGCCTCTTGTTTATGCCCTGGTTTAGAGTACACTGACACATTGGGTGATCTGCCTTGGGACAAGCCATCTCGGTCAAGACATTGCTGGCAAAGGCTGACCTGTGACAAGAGAGTTTCTCTGTGCATAGTGTTGTTCTGGTGCAGCTGTCCCTGACTGTTTGGATGAGGATGGCTTATTCCAGCTTTACTGCAGTCCTGCACTCAGCAGGAAAGAGGTATGAGGCTATTTGGGGAACAACTGTAGCACTTGGTGCCTGGTGTCTGCCTCAAGCAAATTCCAGCCATAATGAGACCTAACAACTTTGCTACCCTGGGTGTCTCTTTTGATTATGATCTCTTTTGTGTGTGTGGACCTGGTGTCTTAGAGTCGGAGATAGTAACTTCTCCAAGCTCTTCTGGGAGATTAGTATATTAGCCCCAACTGGCTCAATTCCAGCACCAGTAATTGTATTTTGCCTCTTTGAAATCCCCCTGCAGTTTCAATCAGCTGGAGTATGACTTTTTGCAGTAAGTCTCGCTGTTTTATATTGCAAAAAGGGAAGCAGATACGGCCTCAGACCTGGCTGCAGTTTTAGCAGTCAGTAGAGTGCACCTTGTGCTTCCAAAAGTTGGCAGGTGCTTTAGTATGAATGGTGCTATGTGTTGTGGTGGGAGCCCAGGAATGTTCTTGTTTTTATTACAGTGCCCTCTAGTTATCAGTAATTCAATCACTGGTTAACATGTTTCAGTTAATCCAATAAAGACCTTATGGCCAGGTTATGTGTACTAAAAACAATGAGGATCACCCTCTTCCTGAGCTGTCACAGTTACTTTAAACTGTTAATAGCAAATACAAGGTAGGGAACCTTGTAGGACAGTAACTGAGACCTGCTCTTCTGAATGAAGGAGAAGCAGAAATGTAATGAATTAAATGTCTGGCTGGGGAATCATGCTTTGGCACAATGCCATGTCTTGGCCCATCTGGTGTCAGGGAAGTTTTGGTATTGATTTCAGAGGAAGCAAGACATTACTTGAATGGCGGCTTTTGCAGAGGTTTGAAGCTCATGTTCACCTCTCCCAGGGAAAATCATCTCCCCAGGTGAAGAAAATGCATCTGTGTGACCCAGACCTAGGTCTGCTGGGAGATGCAAAGGTCAGGACTTGGAACAGCAGGAGGGCTGTGCAAGATGGTTTCTTTAGAAAATAGCCCCTGAGGGTCTTTGTGAGAGAGCTTGGAAGGGAAAAGCTGGAGGATTGTGGGAGGCAGCTGGATACTGCAATATGAGTAATATCACCACTGATGGAAAGCATTAAGGGGTGTAGCTAATGATGTGGTGGCAAAGAGGTGAGGTAGAGGTGTGGAATTTCATATTGGTGAACCAGACTCCCAAGGGGATGGTGTGACTGAGAAGCTCTGGGAGGGTGTGTGATTTGGAGCTGTGGCTGCCTGCTTTAACTCATCTGGTCCATCCCTTGCTAGACTGTTTGGCCAGAGGTGTTGGGACAGTTTCATGGCTCCAGCAGATGGTTCTCCTGAGCTGTGCCCCTTTGTGATCAGGCTGGCTCCATCATGGCTTGGCTGCTCTTGTTTGTGGCTGGAAAGGAGGTACGTGGTGTGTGCCACCTCTGTGTGTGGCCACAAGCTCCTTCTGTGCTCCAGCCTACTGCTGATCCTGGTGGGAGACAGCAGACCCTGGCAGGGAAGGAGCTGATAGTGTGTGCAGTTATAACCTCCTCAGGCAACCATGGGTTTGGCAGTGCTCTGCTTCCTCGCTGAAATTAGATGAGCTGATAAATGAGCCAGGTAAGTCTGGCACCACATCCAGCTCCATGATACCTGCCTCCTTTATCAGAAGACTCTGCCTCATCTCTGCAGCAGAAACCCAGATCACCTGTGTCTCTCTGGCCTCTCTGTTCCATGGCTGATGTTTCTCTCCACAAAAGCTGGTGGGAATGGGAGTGGATAGCACTGGCCTAGGAAGGTGGTAGGGTCTGTGGGTGCACTTCCATGTGCCCAGAGCGTGGGAGCAGGGTGTAGAAGGTCTGCTGAAGGTAGAGGAGAACCCGGTGGGCCAAGTGGGTTGTTCGAGAAGACCACTTAATGAAGGGGAACTGCTGCCAGAATGCTGGAAGAGCTGCTAAACATGAGAGATGCCCTTCGATTTCCCTTAGGGCTGGGGGTAGAACAATCCAGGGAAATGCTGAGAAGACTCTTCAAATGGGGAAGTTCTTAGCTCTGCATTGCACAGATGATGAGTGACAGAGGCCAACTTGTCTGGAGGGAGCCTTTAGAAGAAGATGCTGTGACCAGCTTAAGGACTGGGATCATACCACAAAGATGTACAGGGTGCAAAAATTCCTTCAAACTGTAGAAGAGAGATATAAACTAAAAGAAAATATGAGTACCTTAAAGAGACCTGATCTTGACAAATTGGCAGATGCCCTTGTTTGTAAGAGAGTAGGAGCTGATTCCAGACAGGAACTAAATGTCTAGCTAAAAGTCTGGAAGGAAGGATTGACTCATCATCACTGGCATCTGTATGTGGCACCTGGGGATATGGTTTAGGGGTAATTATGATGGTGCTGTGCTGATGGTTGGACTAGATCTTGAAGGGGTGTTCCAACCTTGATGATTCTGTGATCCTGCCTGAACCTGGGAAGTGATTGAACCCCTTTGGTAACTGTGTTGTGTGGAGGGCTCCTTGTTTTAAGGAGCACAAACCAGCACCACTGACCAAAATGTCTCAAGTGTCACTGTTCCCCACATGAATCTGAGTAACAGCCCTCACAAGATTTGAGGGGAGTTCATTTTCTAATCAGTGGGGTCTTATGAACCAGACAGAGGAAAAATTCTCCAAGCTTAGTAAGCGGGGTAGTGGGGAAACTGATGACAAGTGGTAATCTTAACACAGTAGCAAGTGTGAGGATTCCTGTGTCTGCTTCTACTTTGTGGATTTGTTGTCCCAGAGAAGTAGCTCAGGTTTCAGTCTTTGGCTGCCTTGTAAGATGGAAGTCTGCTGGGAGAGAGTGGGATGGGTTCTCCCTGGACTTTCATTGCCCAGGAGAGATGGCAGAGGCGTCAGTCCCTCTGGCATCTTTAGATCTTGTTGGTGGAAAGGCTGCGTGGCTGCACCATGCAGGGCTTTCCCCCATGGGAGCTAACTAATCTGTGATAGAGCACTTTAAGGAAAGGTTGAATGTGTGACTTCAAAGGAGAGCTGACAGGCTGGGAGCATTTCTTGTTCCCGTGGGACAAACCTCATGCTGCTTTTTGTAGTTTGTTTTTTTGCTGTGCCCATCTGCCAGTTCGTGCTCTCCTCCAGGTGGGAAGAGGAGCAGGGAAGAGAGGAGGTGCAGAGGAGTCGAGAATAGCTGAGAGTGTCTTTAGGCAACGGGGATGGCAGATTGGATCACTGATCCTTGAAAATAACATCTCATCTGACAGGGCCTTGTTTTAAGGGGCGAAAGCCTCACTTTTCACCCGCAGTGTGTCAGGGCAGGCAGCGTTCTTGCTGGGGTTTTTGGTGCAAACCCTGAGTATCCCTGGAGCAGGAGGAGTAGCAGAGCCCTGGGAGATGCACTAAACTTTTATCATCTGTCTGAAGAGTGTCCCAACCAAATGCCCTCAGTCCCATGGTCCGTGGCTGTTCCTGCTGTTACCCACCATCCATCTAGCAAGGCAGTGACTGTGTCTGCAGACACTGGTGTGTGTACCTGTGGGTGTGGGCCTTTGGGAAGACCAGTGCCAGACAGTGGAGGAGAGATGGAGCTTTTTGTCTGTGCTGCTGCTGATTGCTCTTAACAGCCTCCATGGCCTCTGGGGGAGCATCACCAGGAAGGCTGTTGGGTAGCAAAAATCTTTTAATGCTCAGGGTCCCTGGGTAGAGCCTCAGTCAGGATGATGCTCTCTAGTGAAACACAGCAGCAAAATGACCTGGCTTCTGCCTGCAATGTCAGTAAATCTCAGTGGCTTCTTCGCAGACAGAACTGGGAGACAGTCCCAACACCATGACTCTGAAGGTCAGCAGCTGGATCATGCTCATCTTTGGGCAACATCTGGAAGGAGCTGCTGACAGCATGTAGGAAATGAGCTGTGGGTTAGGGAAGTTGCTTGCCAGCTAAACAGGAGCATCTTTGCACCTCCTGTTTTGGGGCGGATGGAGCAGTGTGTTCTCTGCTCAGGACAGATGGGAAAGAGCATGCAGGAGTAGCATGGGCAGTCTTGATTCCCCAGGAATATCCAGGGCAATGAGTGTGTTTGATGACATGGCCCTCTCTGCCTGGGAGCTCACACTTGCTCTGGCAGCAGCAAAGCAATGGATTTGAGTCAGGGATGCATGGAGTTTTTTTGTGCAGATCTCTGTAAGGCATCCAGACAGCTGCTGCCCACTGTGCTCAGTGGAGCATCTGCTTTGGCAGGCAGGAGAGGAGACAGGAGCCTTGGGGATTTCAGACAGTCACTTGCTTAATAACCATAGACAGGGCAGGGGGCTCATTTCTGGCTGTGAAGGGATCGTCTTCCTTCCCTTTCTCTGAGAATGTGCTGTGCTTGTCTTGGGGAGAAAGGGAGTTAATTGGGATGCAAACTCCTGAAACAGAGCTCCGTGGGTATGGGCAGTTTCTCAAGAAAGATGAAGGCTGATTTATGCCTGCTGGATTTGTGCCTGCCACTCTGAACTAAACATGTCTGATCTTACAGATACTTTTCTTATCCTGGGGTGGCCTTGCTGGCCTCCAGAAGAAACCCCTGCCTGCTCTGACCTTACATTTGTGACATGCATCTTCCTTTTCAGCATCTACATTTGTCTAGCAACAAAAAATGCATTCATGGTTAGAACCACAGAACAAACGGGCTGAAGCTGAAGGGAGGGGAGTTAGTTTTGGCTGCTGTAGCAAAACAAAACTGTTCGTTATTGACGCGGGAGTCTCATAATGCAGATGTTTGGGGGATGACTTTTATGCTATGAAGTGCTGTACAAACCGAAATGCTGCGTTTCAAAGATGCCCAGGTTGGTTCAGATTTTGGTGGTATTCCTTGGGTGTGCCAGGGAGGAGGATTTGGTTTGCTGTGCTTTTGTTTCTCTTCTCTAGTATTTCTCATTTAGCTTGTGGCTGACTGCTGCTAGTACCCCTGTCTTTCTGATTTGCATCTGAAATGAATCTCTGGGTCCCAGCCTAGTCCCAGCCTGATTTCTAACACTCATAACCTCAAATTAAATATGCCAGGTGTCAAAACTCTTATTATTGTCTGTAAAAATGCCTCAGGACAGAAAGGAGTGGAGAGAATGGATATGCAAATTGTCCCTAGGAAATGTGGATTCACTGGGATGGGATAGGGTGCTGGAGAAGTGCACTTATTGGATGGGATTGTTCTTTGCTGTGTTAGGCTACCTGTTCTTAGAAGGTCTCTGCCACTTGACCCAGTCTCTGGCTGGACACCTATAATGGGGCCAGCTCTCTGCCTTTCAGAGTTCTTAGTTGCTTTGGATGTGACATGAAGTATTTTGGATCTTTTCCTAGATTACAGCTTTCCTGCTGCATCTCAGAAGGCATTGCTGAAACGGAATGGGACACAGGTGGACAACTGGGAAACAGCCACTGTCCAGCCACCAGCAGAATTTGTTGAGCCTGACCTGCACACGCCTTTCTCTACGCTAGAGGAAGAGGAGGGGCTGCTCCCTATAGACCACTCAAGAGGAGGAGTGGAGAGCCTCCAGACCTCCGGGCCAGAAGTTACATCTTCTGAACCAGTGGACCAAGAGGACTCCTTCTCCCTTCTGTTTTCCACAGCTTCCGCCAGGCCAGGTATTGTGACTGAAGCAGCCATAGGAGGGCAAGAAGAGGACTCTGTTTCTCCAGGCGTAGACCTTGGGAGCAGCATGGGACCAGGTCTTCTACCTGTGTCCTCTATTTTTTCTACTACTGTTGGTGCAAGATCTCCCAGTCTTTCAGAAGAACTCTTTGAGGTGACAACTGGGGACACTTGGGCTGTTGGGGGAGCAGATTCAGAGCTTGCTGTGAGTACCACAGGAGCAGAGCTTGCAGAGACCACGGTGGAGGCTGGTGTGGAAGAACATTCGGCCAGAGAGGAGGTCTCAGAGCCCACGGTGGGGTGGGAGATGCTGAAGCCCACGATGTTGACTGAAATGGAGCAGACAGTAGAAATGCCTGTGGGGACACCCTCTCCTGCAAGCGGCTCCCCAGACACCCAGACTCGTTCTGGGAGTGAGCAGCATCCCACTTCTGTGTCTCCGTGGGACAGAGCTGATGAGCCTGTGCTGGATCCCATTTGGAATGACACTGAGTCAGCCACTGAGACTGTGGCAGCAGAGAGGAGCTTGTCACCGCAGGCTGGGGATGCCCGCATGGCCGAGCTGCCAACAGAGCTGCCCTGGGACTCAGCACAGGTAGCACTGGGAGCAGGGAATGGGTGGGAGGTTGCAGTGGAGATACTTGGGTCCTTCCCTCTTGTGGGGGTGTTTAACCCCATCCTTAAGTCTGACTGGTGGAAGGAGTTTTGTCTGTTCACCCAGCCAGGTGAGTGAACTTTCAGGGAGGGTTTTTCGCAGCACTTCTTAAGGGTATCCGTCATCCTTGGTGAAAACCCTGACCCCTCACATCTTCCCAGCTACACAAAATCCTGCTTCCAATAAACAGAAGCAGAATACCTTCCCTCTGGAGCATGCACAGCAGAGAAAGCTCCTTGTTTCCTCAGCCTTCATTACTGGAAGTGTCAGGACAAAAATAGCCCCAAGGATTTCTGGAAAGGGAGTGAGAAGAAAGTGCTATTTTTGCTGCTGCTGCCTGCAGGGACCAGATGCAGAGCAGGTGGAGCAGAGTACAGTGACCTGTGAGGATGTTGTTCTGGGAGAGCCTGTGGGAGAGGAGGGGTGTGGTAAACTGTAGTTCCTAAATCCAGCAAACTGGCAGCTGGTTAAAAGAAGATATGTAGCAGGAGTTGACTGGTAAGAAAGTACCAAGCAAAGCTTTTAATTTTGCTTTCTGCCCTTTGGTACTCAGGAGCCTGAACAAGTGACTTAGCCCCTCTGTGCATCCTATCCTGCCTGCAAAGTGCTGCCTTGTCTCACCAGTCTGTTTAAAGTCTGCAGAGGCTCCTGGTTAGGTTTCGTGTTAAGTGGTGATAAGGCTGCAGGCTAGAGAGCTTTCTGCTGAGAACCTGAGTCCTCCTAGACAGAGGTGGAAAGTAAGCTGGTCCATGGCAAGGTGGTGTAGTGACTTTGTTCCTGCTACATGCACTGTCACTGAAATGGTGATTCCTCCTCAGTACAGAGAGTTAGAGGACAGTCACATCCTTTGAGAAGTGCTTCTCAGGGGGTATGGCACCTTGCTTCTGTCCCTTGTGTACCCTGTGCTTTTAGCAGCATTCACTAGCTGAACTCAGCTGTCTTTGTCTTGTCTCTCCAGGTGATCTGCAAAGACTGGAGCAACCTTGCGGGAAAAAATTACATCATCCTGAATATGTCGGATAACATTGACTGTGTAAGTCAGTCCAAAGAGATTTGATGGCACAGGGGAATGGCGCTTAGAGAAGAAGAGGCAGGCCTAGCTCTTGATGTCTGCTTTCACTACAAAACATTTTAAAAGCACTAAATCTCAACTTCCCTGTAGAGTCTGTGAAGAGAAGGAGAGGAGGACAGAAATATTTCTGTTCCCCAAAGAGTGGGCGGAGAGAGATGATTTTGCTCTAAGTCTAGCACATGTCAGTACCATATTGGATTTTTCACTAACTTCTGGCTTGTGGTCTGTGCCAGTCTGTACCTGGATTGTCATGAGACATGAGAGCTTTTAACATTATACCTCTTACTGGTAGGAAATGTGGCAGGATTGAAGTGCAATTCTCCTTCCTTCACTTCCTTTTCCTTCCAGCATATAGTAATGATCCTCTGATGGCTCAGAGGAATAGGGACTCCCATTTACAGTGTGCATGGTTAAGTACCAAACAGCTATCACTAAATCATCCTTAAGGGCCTCCTCTCCCCACCCTCTTATCTTATGTGTTATCTGGGTCTGTTAACCAGCCATACTCTGCTAATCCAATGCAGAGGTCCATCCATCCTCATAAAGCTGCAGTTAATTCATGAGCCCAGAGTCCCTTGTGGATCCCTGGTAAAAGAGCTTGTTCACTTCTGCTTGGCCTTTTATCAGGCACTTAAAAACCAGTTGTGCAAGGCCTGGGGTCAAGGTGTCTTTCATATTCTAAGAAATTATTATGAGCCTGACAGCCTGAGACCAAAATGTTTAATTGAGGAACTGTGTTCTGGCCTTCTGTGTCTGCACTCTTGCTTTCTGAGGCTCCTGCTCTGGGCAGAGCCACCTGGTCTTGTTCCTGCACTGACCTATTGCTGCTACTGGTGAGTTGTTGGTTGGTTGGGTTTTATTTTTTTTTTAAGGTGAACTTTCTGGGAACATGGAAAATGGGGAAATGTCTATACACAGTAAAGCATGTTGAATGCTCTAAGAGTAGATGAAAAGTCACTCTTTTTCCTCCTGATTTAGACAAGCCATTTGGAAGAGTTTTAAGTATCTCTGCTACAGTTAACAACTGCAATGCAGAAAATCAGTCCTTGAAAACCACAGTCCTGCTGCCCTGTTTCCTCCATGTCCTAGTCCCCATCACTCTTTCTCCCATCTCTGTGGACTTAAAATGCTAGGTAATTTTGTAATACATAGTAACTTCCTTCCTGTGTTCATTTGCATTTGTGTTGTTTAAACCACTGTAAGGGTGAGAACTGAAAAGCAGATGTGCAGATGTCTCTTGATCAAATTATGTCTTTGCTGTTAAATCCTCACTTCTGCCTTGCTGAAGGAAGATGGTGCCGTGGAATAGGCAGGGCTGAACTGTTTTTCTACTTGATTTCATGTTTCAAAACATATTTCCCAGTGAATGATTTGTGCTGTACTACCCCTTATTCAAAGGGACATTTGTCGACATACATATTTAACATGAGCATCACTTCATTCCCTGCCTTCCATTACCACTTTGCATGAGCGAAGCTGGAATCAAGCTCTTCTCCTTTCCACTGATCTTGATGCAGTTTGTGTCCTACCAGTGGTAATTTACTCAGTTTGGGCACTTCACCTACAGTCTGCCTGTCCCTTTTGTTTTCTGCTTTCTGTACCTGAGCCCTGTTGTGTTTGTGAGGAAGAATGTGTGTTGCAAGTACTGTAATTTAAATTAGTGCAAATGAGGATTCTACACGTATTTTCTATGTTTTGGTGCCATGATCTGGTGTAGTACTGAGTCCCACTGAAAAGCCAAGGGACAAGTAGGGTGCTTAACCCCTTCCAGAGGGTTGGACCTTGAGCTTTAATATACTTCATAGCACCAGGCTTTTACCTGCTGTAGGGATGATGTCTGTATTGCTGGGTTAAGCTGGAAGGCCATTTGTCTTCCCAATGGGCTCTGGGCAAGGGAATCACTTCCGTCTCTTTCTGGGCACATCTCTCGCTCAACATAGCTGGGATTTTTGCCCAAGTGAGGTCTGCAGGATCTGACCCAACAGTGGTACCTGGCCGTGTATCGGGAGGTGATCTCTACCTAGGTGTGTGTGCATTCAGACTCCTTCACTGCTCCCTTCTCTCCACCATGGAGAATTTGTCAGTACTCTACAGCCTCTGCTTTCTTCATCACCAGAAACATCTTGCTTCTGTCCTGCTCCTGGCCTCAGCTGCTCCTCCTTCCTCTGCATCCTCCAAAAGAGAGCCTCAGGCTGGCAGTGGGGCCATGAGTGGGAGCTGCAGTTCATGGTGCTGCATCACAGTGCTGCTTCCTCCTGCCTCCCCATGCCAAAATCCATACCCTGATGAGAGTAGGCACTGGCAGGCCCTTGTGATTCAGGCCCCAGTCATCGATGTCTTTTCCAATTAGGCCATTTTTGGCACAGGCCTGTGCCTGCCCTGAGCGCTTCAAATTGCCATGGCAACAAGAGCTCTCCATTTTATTAATCATCTGTGTGGCCTTCAGGTTGGCATGGCAACTGGAGATAAGAATAGAAACACAGGAGTGAGAAAGCGGCAAAGGAGCCTGCTGAGGGATGGCTGGAGCATGTCAGGCTGAGCGGCACCCGCTGACCCAGCGCTGGCTGTGGGGAAGAGCCTGATTCCTTCTTACCTTACACATAATGTTGCTTCAGGATCCCTGTGTGCCAGAGGAACTGGGCTTGGTGTGGGACATATGGCAGCCACAGGAACCAAGGAGGAGGGTTGGTGCATCAGGAGATGTATGTAGATCCAGCCTGGGGCACTGGGGATGTGCAGGGGACTGTTGCACCAGGTTTAACACTGCTGGCTTTTGGGCACACCTGGTGTGGGGTCTCAGCCATACCATCCCTGCAGTGCTACATCTGCCCTGTTCCCACCATGTGCTCACCAAGGTTCCTTTCCCATGGCAGGAGGAGTTTCGGTTGGAGAGGGGTCCCCAGCTGTTGGCACTGGTGGAGGATGCCTTCTCCAGACAGGCGGATGGACTGCAGGACCGCTGGCTGATCTCTCTGAGCAAACCCAACGAGAACGACAAGCACTTGCTAATGACACTGGCAGGGGAACAGGGTAAGTGCTGGGAGAAGGAGCCTTCCTGTGATGTGGGGGTGCATTTAAGGATCTCCCAAATGGATGTGCTCAGCCATGTTGGAATGAGCTTTTGCTTTCCCTTTCAATCCCACCAGTTCCCAGCGTTCACTAGACTTGAGGAATGGAGGGGGACTGAGGACATAAGACTCTTCACATCTGCCTTCTGTCTTGCCCCTCGCTGCTTGTACAAAGCTCTGTATCTGCAATTTGCTCTCTCCCTGGATTGCCTTCACCTTAGCATCTGTCAGCTTTCTCCTGGTGCTTATGTACTCCATGGGCAGGATGCAATGGCAGGGTATGACATCCTGCTCTTGGTTCACTTCCTAACCTATCAGATCTTAAGTCTTGTCTGAATTAGGATAGTCCTGATGGTGTGTCCCCTGCATCCCCAAAGAAACAAAAGCTGACAGTGAACGTGGAACATTTTACCATCTCTTTATTCCCATTTTGGTATGGAGGTCCTTCTCCTGTACTGCTTCTGTTGCCTGCTTAGTGACAGAGGCCTTCAATGTTGACATTATGGCCTAAATGACCTATATGAACCTGCATCCATGACTTTTTGAGTGTTGCTGCTTGCTCCCAGAGCAGACACAGATGTTGAGAGCTGCTGTGGCAGTGGGAAGGGTATCTAGGTGGCTTTGATATCAGTTTTCCCTGGATTTTTTTTACTTATTTAGAGAATATTTGGAGATACCCTTGTCTGTGGTCCTTGAGTTCTTTCAGCCTCCTGACATAAAGCACCAATGAACAAAAATGTGTGTTCCCCTGCCTCCATCCTGTTAGGGATTTCAGACTGATGAATACATCTGACTGAGTAACCTGAGCTGAGAGCAGCACTGATCTCTTCCTCTACTTTACAGGCGTTATCCCTACAAAAGATGTTCTCATGGCACTGGGGGATGTTAAGAGGAGCTTAGCTGAGGTAAGAACCTGTCTGCCTGCATCCATTTGTTAAGACTGGCTATACAATTAAAATAAGCAACTTGAAAACTGGGAGCATATCTCAGTCTAACCAAGTGCTGAACCCACAGCAGGCGAACAGATGAGTCAGACGCTTGGCAAACTCCCTTCTGCCCTCACTGGTAGTTGCCAGGCCATCAAATGTCTGCTCTCTTTAAGAGAGTAACTATGGGTTATTTCCTCCCAGCTTTTCTGTCTTTGTTGTGAAACTGCTTTTCACACATTCATTTTGTTGGGATTCTTGGTGTCATCCCTTCTATGCTATTGTCAGTGGCAATGTGGGTGCTGCAGAGTCCCTGATTTGGCCCTACTCACCCTACAGCTGGTTTTTTATATACATTGGCTTCTCTTGACATGTTCACATGCCTTCTGCAATCCCAGGGTCTGTTTCACTCCTTTAGACAACTGCCTACACAAGGGCAGGCGGAGGACCAGAGATGATGGATGCCAGATTCCTCTGCCAGCTGCCTCTAGCTCTCACATATTCCTTTCTAACCCTGGGCAGCTTGGAAGAGGATAAAGAAGAGGACAAATTGGTCCCATGATCTCTGGGGTTTTTCCCCTTCGCCTTACAGGATATGTAGGCCTGATTCTGCTTGGGTTTTTTACACTACTGGGAGTAATTTTGCTGATTTTAGCAGCAGGGTTGGGCCATTGCCTTGTTGACTGTCTGCTCTCAGTTTTTTCCCTGACCTAAGAAACTGGTGCAATCAGACAAAGCAAATTAAGTGCTCAGTGCTGTATTGATTGGCTTACACCAGAGAAAGTGCAAAAAGCCAACCCTGTAGAAATTGTGTGACTAAAGTATCAGCACCTAGAACTGTCCAGAAAGATGGATTTGTCTTGGTGCAAGGTCTGACTTTGCAGTTGTGGCCCGATGTTAACCTGAGTCCTACCAGAGCAGCCTCACCACATGCCTCCAACTCTCCAGCTCTATCAATAATGAAACACTACTCACTGCACTGACCTTGTGCTGGCATGAGATTGGAAGGAGGAGGGAGGATATTCTCTTACACCCATCATACTTAGTATTGATACATAACCTGTTTGAAATCTAAGTCACTGGGACCGATGTGGGGCTGTTTGCTGACAGCCACAGGGGACCCATTTCTATGGCAGCTATTCCTAAGCTTTTAGGATCAGTGGGCAGCTGTCCACTTTCAAGACCTCAAAAAGACTGCTATGCCCTCTTAGGACCTCAGCTTTAATGAAAACCTATTTGTTATGGTTACATTCTCTGCCAAGTAGTCACCAAAGCCTCTTACCCATCAGTGGTCCATGATTCTATGATCGTAGTTTGTCTTGGGTGGTTTGTCCCATGAAAGCCTCCTTGTCATGCACATAGGTGTGATCTTTGTGCAGGTGATCAAGATAAGATTGTGCCTACTGTCATTTGCTGAAGTGTCAGCTTTTATGGAAAATGGTGTTATATTTAGTTATGTGCCTTCTAGTCACATAAGACTAGACTTTCTGACTCTCCAACCCTGGCTTTTAGTTCCTCTGCCCGCAGTGGTGGTCCTGTACTTGGACCCTGGAAAGTCTGAACAGGATCCCACCTGACTGCAGGCCAGGACATTTAGTATACTGCTTTCTTCCTTCCAGATTGGTATCCAAAACTACTCAACCACCACAAGCTGCCAGTCGCACCCCAACCAGACACGCAGTGATTATGGGAAGCTCTTTGTGGTGCTGGTGATCATTGGCTCCATCTGTGCCATCATCATTGTGCTGGGGCTCATATACAACTGCTGGCAGAGGCGCCTGCCCAAAATGAAGAACATGGTGAGCTCTGGATGGGTGGAGAAGGTGGCTAGGCTCTTAGCCATTGGGAAGGAGGGGATTGGAAAGTTAAGAGGGAGATTGTTCTCCCCTGTCCACTTATGGGATATAGCTGGATACACTGCTGGAGCAGCGAGGGCGTCCATTCAGGCAAGAATGCAAACCTGTCTCTTGCTGTGCTTAGGACAGCTCATTTCCACTGTGAGGGCTGGGCTAGGGGCAAATTTACCTTTTCCCACTGACCCTGCAAAGTTCTCAGTGACCCCTGTAGCCTGACCTGATTGTGCTTCTCAGCAGCTTTAAGACCTGTCCTCCTTTGTCTCCATTTGTGTTCCTCTCGTCCTTTCCAGTCGCACGGGGAGGAGCTGCGCTTTGTTGAGAACGGCTGCCATGACAACCCCACCTTGGATGTGGCCAGTGACAGCCAGTCAGAAATGCAGGAGAAGAAGCCAAGCGTGAACGGTGGGAACACCATCAATGGCCCCGACAGCTGGGATGTCCTGATCAATAAGCAGGCGAGCGAGGATGTTGATGTGTTTGAGGAAGACACGCATCTTTAGAAAAAGAACGGGGGGAACCACCCTCTTAAATACACTTGTTTCTCTCCTATCTTGACTGATGGACCGTGGGATCAGGTGGCTTCTCAGGAACTTCTTAAAACCTTGGAACAGGTCTTTGGGCAAATCTTCCCAGTAGAAGTCCTGAGCCTGCATCTGAGGCTTGGAACCAGGAGGATCACTGAACAGAGGGAAGTGGGAGGGGTGGGTTTGTAGGTCTCTGTGTGTGTGTTCCTATCAGTAGCACCAATGCTTTTATCACCTTTAAATGCACTTAAATGTAGCTCTCTTGTAGTGGCTGAGAGTGGCTGGGCTTAAGAAGCAAGATGGTGAGGCTGTCGGCCACCAAAAGTCCAGATTTGGAGAGTAAATTCACTTTCCAGATCCTGACCTTGAGATCGTGTTCAGTCTGTGCAGGTGCAGTAACACCTGTGCATTCTGAATGGAGGGGAGCCAGGATTCAGTCGATGTCCTGGGCAGAGTTTGCATTCCACATGTGAAAACAGGTTTTGTAGTGCTCTAGCATTCAGCTGCTAATTAGATGAGAGCTGATGTTTACATTCGGGGAAAACATCCCCCCTGCTGTCATCTTATTTCACCCCTGGTACTACAAACAGCCCCACTCTCTTTTTCAGCTCCACAGCTCCAAGCTGAGTTTGCAAAGTTTGAGCACTTTACCCTTGCTTCACTGGTTACAGAGAATTTGGTGCCATGGTGCAGCATCTTAGCTGGAAATTTGCTTTAGGTTGGAGAGTTGCTCAAAAATGACATTTACATGCCTCTTTAACGAAACAGCCTGGGAAATCATCAGCAAAGTATCCCATGTCTAAATCTCAGTTTTAGACTGTCAGGCCTTTTCCACTCCAGTTCTATTTTTCAGGATAGTTTGGTTTCAGTTGGTCATTTTGAGGTAAAAATAAAGACTGTGTGAGACTTTATAAACAGTTGGAAAAGTTAAAACTCAGAAACAGGTAATTTTCTGGTCCTTTTGTTTCCGTTTCAGCATCCTGCCCTGAGAGGAGGGTGGAAGTGTTTTATGTCCCACGGGTGTAAATCGGGGTAACATCTTTAAAATTATTTTATTTAAGCAAGTGTAAGCCAGATGAGATGAGAGTCGATCTAAGGGCTCCCCAATGAACGTTTCTCAGGCATGCCTCAGGCAACTTTGAGTCTCCAGCTCTCTGCAGACTCTTGATAAAAGGCACGTGAATATGCATAATTGTTCTCTGAGCCCTGCCTAAACTGAGACTCGAAAACATTTGTTTCTTCTGTCATTGAGGGACTGAGGGACTTGCTTTGGTCAGAGGCAGCAGTACTTCTCTCTGTTACGGTGATCTGCACGCTTGCTCACTGCGAGATGCAGTTTCACACTTGGTCTTTAAGGGAACCTTTGTACAGAAAGGCCCCAGATGTGCAGCCTGATGCCGAGCCTGTAAATCTATCACTGTATGTATAGGTATTTTTAGCATGTTCATCCCTGGTGTGTGTGCCTAAAGTCAAGGTGCAGGAGTCTGTTGTTTCAATTTGCATAGCGCTTTGCATACAAACTGAATCACAGGTCACCTTGATGTAGGACCACATTGATACCAGTCTATTGAGGAATCAAACCATTGGTTTCCTATCCAGATTCCAGTTTTCAGTGGTTTTAGCCTGCCTCCATATCTTTCCCTGTTGTGTAGAAGACAGTGGATCATCAGCTCCTTTTGTATCTTGGTAGGGTTGCAGAGATGCTCAGAGGAGTTCCTTCTGCCCCAGCAGTTGGTAGTGGGGGACAGTACACGTACATGAACAGCCACATGTGGCCCTTCTTTGGCCACCCCTCACTTATGGCTCCTGCTGAGTTTGATGGGTCTGTGCAGTGTAACTGCACAGCTCCAGTGGCTGTGGTGATGGCACTTTGGGGCTCACAGGATGAAATGCAAGTTGTTGTTATGATGAGTAAATTAAAGCATGGAGTTAAAATTTGAGTTTGTATAGCACTTAGCATAATGGGGGCTGGCATGCCCGTGGCCTTTAGGCAGCTTCACCGTGTAAATGTTTCTAAGTCCAATAATCCTCATTAAATACATTTTTAATGCCCAGTGGCTATTAAAAAGATAAAGCCACCCGTTAGATGTGAATCAGTTCATTCACAAACCCCTTCCTTGGTGCATGTCACTGCTAGGAGCTGCTTTGCTGCCCTGTTTCCTCTCCACTATCCTAATTCAGAGAAGCAACAAGGCGGTGGTAAAGCAGTGCTGCTGGCTGGGCTCAGCACTTCCTGATCTTGTGTAGAGTCTTCAAACTTTGAAGAAACCAAGGGGGTATGTGGGCCTCATGATGAGTGAACAAGTTCTCCTGATTTGCTCTTCTGGCTTCTTGTGGCCTGAAGGTTTTCCAGAGACACTCTTCTCCGTCTGGAGCATTCAGGTGATCTTGAGTGTCTAAGGGTGGCTGTCATGAGGCTAAGGACAATTTTCTGCTGTCTCTGACAGGGTGCACCTGGCTGTGTGATCCCAGTTTAGCTCCCGAAATCTACTGGTTGATAGCATTTCACTTTAGTCTGGTGATACTTTTTATCCCTTTACTGTTTGTTTTTATTCTGTATCATTTTTTTGCACTAGGCTGATCTTTTCAAGTCGATTGCACTGTTGTCCCTCTCCTGCCAGCCTTGCAGAGACGGGTCATCTCCGGGGACCTGTGGGCTGGGGAGCGCTGTAAAGAGCTGGATAGCCCACTTACTCTGTTCAGTGCTTGCATTTTCAGCTCTGCACAGGGAGGAAGAAAAACTTTGTCTTAGCATTTGTAACAGGAAGCTTTTCTATCACCTTAATGTAGTTAAACTTCTTTTTAACAAAAACTGTCAAAGCTGGACTTCTCAGAGTGGTGTGCCAGGCGACAGAGCAGATGCAGGAGACAAAGCAATTCCTGGAATACTGTTTGCCACCGACTCGGACATCGCCATAGTTCCATCTGCCAAACGTTTGATCGCAGTGACACCTGGTGGCTGTTGGGAGTTGGAGACGAAAAATAATAACCCCCCCCAACAATTTCCCTCTTTTAGCTCTGGATATTTGTTTCCTGTGACTTGCCTAGGACAGTCACCTGCTTTATTCATGAGGGGCTGCGGGACTTGCCTATGAGCAGAGGGGCTCACACCAGGCGTGTCAGGGATGGTTTGTGTGAGGACATCCCTGTCTGCAAAACAGTGAAATGGCACATTCTCTGGAATCACCGGTGTGGAGGACATGGGTAGCAATACAGAGTCTCAGCTCCATTTTCCTGCTTTGTCCTCCACTTGCCTTCTCTGCTCCTTGGGACCACAGCTAGAAGGCAGAAACTCTGGCTTGATGTGAAGGTGGTTCTTCAGAAAGAGCATTGGGTGCTGGTATGAGGAGTGCAGCACCTTGGGGAACGTCAGCGATGGCAGCGTCTGGAGGTACAGCCAAGATCAGAGTGGATCTCTGTTTGTGGAATGGTGGCCAGATGTGGTCTGGGATGGCCAAGCTACAGATTACTCCAAGGTGTTGCCCAGATGTCTGGAACAGCATCTGTAATATGGAGTCTAACATGTTCCAGGACCCTGCATCCTGCACGCTGCCTCGTGGTGGGTAGAGTGGAAAGAAACAATGAGAAGTGACCCAGTAACTGTGCTGTGGAGTATGTAATGCAGGTTCAGAATATAGTTCAAGATACCACCTTAAGGATCCCTCTGGCACAGAATACAGTGTGAAATGAAGGTACATTATCCTATGGATTACTGCAGCATGACCGTAGAGCATTGCAGCAGGGTCCCACTGCAGCCACTGCTGTCAGCAACTCGTCTGTTCCCATCTGCCTTCGCAGCCATGCAGGAGCACATCTCTCCTTCACAGAGAGTTTGGGGCAGCTGGAACAGTCAGAGACAACAAGCTCCTTTGTCTGTGCTGGCTCATGAGAGTCTTGTGGGCTCATCTCAGCTGACAGCCAGGCTCCCAGCCATTCTTCTCAACACCTTCATTCCTGTTGGACCTAAACTGTCTGCAAGCCCTGGCCACTGCTTGGGATTGCTTAGAAACAGTTGTGTCTGGCCCTGGAAGCAACAGGGTTGTGGTTTTGTTTTCTTTGCAATAAAATGCACCTGCTGGGTGTCTGAACACTGACCCGAGTGCAGTGCTTTGCTTGGTTAGATCTGCTTGAATTCATGTGTGTTGCATCTGGTTTCACTGTCAGCCACGGTCCCTCTGCTGGGATGGGGCTGGTCAGCCTGGCCCCCCTTTCCCCACAGTGCACTACTTAATTCTTCCATCCCAGGTTTCTGTGGAAGCCCTGAGCTGTGCCAGGTGCCCAGGCTGTGGGAAACTGGCTTCCCCCCTGGGGTGTCCTACCCAATACCCACAGGACCAGCCCAGGACCCATCTTTTCTGCTTGAATGGCTTAGCACGAGCCTCTTTCTAGAGCAGAGCCCCTTCATGTGTGCCCAGCCCTGTGCCATGTGCGTCCCACCCAGCTCCCCACCATCCCACACCTGCTCCAGAGCTGGACCCCACAGATAATCACAAAATTGTTAGGGGTGAAAGGGACTTCTGGAGGTCATCTATTCCAACCTCCCTGGCGAGGCAGGGTCGCGTAGAGCAGGGGACACAGGAACACATCCAGGTGGGTTTGGAACATCTCTAGAGAGGGAGATTTCATGGTGTCCCTGGGCAGCTGTTCCAGTGCCACCCTCAATGTAAAGAAGTTCTTCTTCCTGATGAGGTAAAACTTCTTGGTTTTTAGTTTATGACCATTGTTCTTCATCATGTCGCTGGGCACCACCGAAAAGAGTCCGGCACCATCCTTTTGGCACCCACTTTTGGGATATTTGTATGGATTCGTGAGATCCTCTCTCATTACAACTGCATGTGATCCAGAGAGAGCCCTGCCGTGTGGTCCCAGAGCACCTCGCATCCACGTTCTGGACCAGGTCCCCTCCTCGGCTGTGTCCCGGCTCAGCCCCCGTTCCCCGGAGTCCCGTTCCACGCGTGTCCGGGGGCGGCCCGGCCTGCAGTTGGTCCTCCGAGCCGCGGGGGGCGCT